GATCCTACCAGCTCTGACGCTCAAGATAGATGGTTGATAAGAAGGTGCTCTAGCTAGGGTACTCGCCTTAATCATTGTGCGTTCTTGTCGAATGCAGACCCTCTATCTATCTCTCGTCTTCTACCAGACAACAACCGGCCGTTACACCTCTGGTCGTCAAACATACTTTCACAGCGACTGCCGGTTGGTTGGTATTCAATCAGCATATTAAGCTTCAACATAATATCTCGATTGGGTGACATGCGAAGACAGCGAGCATTGCAACAAAAAATACAAACGATGACTCGATCGCGCGCATCCGGGGCGTCTCCGTATTGCTTCTGGTAGTATAGGACATTCAATAGAGCGGCGATCGACTGGCATGGAAAGATTTGTCGGTACCGATAAAAAGTGGTAGGTATCGACTATTGTGTGCAGCAGGGATACGTGTAGCGCTCGAAAGGGTTCATTCGACGTCGGGAGGGATGACATCTTTTTCAGTGGTGAGTCCGTCAAGATGTCCAAAGTGGTTGAAACAGGTGTTCAAGGCTTCTGGACCGTCTCTGAGAGGGCAGAAGATTATGTGAGCACGTCTATATCACGTAGAAGAGCTGTATTTGTTGTGAAAAACGAGGGCGACCAATGGGCTTGAAGCTCCTTTGGCTCAGTTGGTAGAGCGTCAGTCTCATAATCTGAAGGTCGCCAGTTCGATCCTGGCAGGGAGCATCTCTTTGACAATTTCTTCCCTCTCTCTCTCTATCTCGTATTACATGATCCTACCAGCTCTGACGCTCAAGATAGATGGTTGATAAGAAGGTGCTCTAGCTAGGGTACTCGCCTTAATCATTGTGCGTTCTTGTCGAATGCAGACCCTCTATCTATCTCTCGTCTTCTACCAGACAACAACCGGCCGTTACACCTCTGGTCGTCAAACATACTTTCACAGCGACTGCCGGTTGGTTGGTATTCAATCAGCATATTAAGCTTCAACATAATATCTCGATTGGGTGACATGCGAAGACAGCGAGCATTGCAACAAAAAATACAAACGATGACTCGATCGCGCGCATCCGGGGCGTCTCCGTATTGCTTCTGGTAGTATAGGACATTCAATAGAGCGGCGATCGACTGGCATGGAAAGATTTGTCGGTACCGATAAAAAGTGGTAGGTATCGACTATTGTGTGCAGCAGGGATACGTGTAGCGCTCGAAAGGGTTCATTCGACGTCGGGAGGGATGACATCTTTTTCAGTGGTGAGTCCGTCAAGATGTCCAAAGTGGTTGAAACAGGTGTTCAAGGCTTCTGGACCGTCTCTGAGAGGGCAGAAGATTATGTGAGCACGTCTATATCACGTAGAAGAGCTGTATTTGTTGTGAAAAACGAGGGCGACCAATGGGCTTGAAGCTCCTTTGGCTCAGTTGGTAGAGCGTCAGTCTCATAATCTGAAGGTCGCCTGTCGATCCTGGCAGGGAGCATCTCTTTGACAATTTCTTCCCTCTCTCTCTCTATCTCGTATTACATGATCCTACCAGCTCTGACGCTCAAGATAGATGGTTGATAAGAAGGTGCTCTAGCTAGGGTACTCGCCTTAATCATTGTGCGTTCTTGTCGAATGCAGACCCTCTATCTATCTCTCGTCTTCTACCAGACAACAACCGGCCGTTACACCTCTGGTCGTCAAACATACTTTCACAGCGACTGCCGGTTGGTTGGTATTCAATCAGCATATTAAGCTTCAACATAATATCTCGATTGGGTGACATGCGAAGACAGCGAGCATTGCAACAAAAAATACAAACGATGACTCGATCGCGCGCATCCGGGGCGTCTCCGTATTGCTTCTGGTAGTATAGGACATTCAATAGAGCGGCGATCGACTGGCATGGAAAGATTTGTCGGTACCGATAAAAAGTGGTAGGTATCGACTATTGTGTGCAGCAGGGATACGTGTAGCGCTCGAAAGGGTTCATTCGACGTCGGGAGGGATGACATCTTTTTCAGTGGTGAGTCCGTCAAGATGTCCAAAGTGGTTGAAACAGGTGTTCAAGGCTTCTGGACCGTCTCTGAGAGGGCAGAAGATTATGTGAGCACGTCTATATCACGTAGAAGAGCTGTATTTGTTGTGAAAAACGAGGGCGACCAATGGGCTTGAAGCTCCTTTGGCTCAGTTGGTAGAGCGTCAGTCTCATAATCTGAAGGTCGCCTGTCGATCCTGGCAGGGAGCATCTCTTTGACAATTTCTTCCCTCTCTCTCTCTATCTCGTATTACATGATCCTACCAGCTCTGACGCTCAAGATAGATGGTTGATAAGAAGGTGCTCTAGCTAGGGTACTCGCCTTAATCATTGTGCGTTCTTGTCGAATGCAGACCCTCTATCTATCTCTCGTCTTCTACCAGACAACAACCGGCCGTTACACCTCTGGTCGTCAAACATACTTTCACAGCGACTGCCGGTTGGTTGGTATTCAATCAGCATATTAAGCTTCAACATAATATCTCGATTGGGTGACATGCGAAGACAGCGAGCATTGCAACAAAAAAATACAAACGATGACTCGATCGCGCGCATCCGGGGCGTCTCCGTATTGCTTCTGGTAGTATAGGACATTCAATAGAGCGGCGATCGACTGGCATGGAAAGATTTGTCGGTACCGATAAAAAGTGGTAGGTATCGACTATTGTGTGCAGCAGGGATACGTGTAGCGCTCGAAAGGGTTCATTCGACGTCGGGAGGGATGACATCTTTTCAGTGGTGAGTCCGTCAAGATGTCCAAAGTGGTTGAAACAGGTGTTCAAGGCTTCTGGACCGTCTCTGAGAGGGCAGAAGATTATGTGAGCACGTCTATATCACGTAGAAGAGCTGTATTTGTTGTGAAAAACGAGGGCGACCAATGGGCTTGAAGCTCCTTTGGCTCAGTTGGTAGAGCGTCAGTCTCATAATCTGAAGGTCGCCAGTTCGATCCTGGCAGGGAGCATCTCTTTGACAATTTCTTCCCTCTCTCTCTCTCTCTCTCGTATTACATGATCCTACCAGCTCTGACGCTCAAGATAGATGGTTGATAAGAAGGTGCTCTAGCTAGGGTACTCGCCTTAATCATTGTGCGTTCTTGTCGAATGCAGACCCTCTATCTATCTCTCGTCTTCTACCAGACAACAACCGGCCGTTACACCTCTGGTCGTCAAACATACTTTCACAGCGACTGCCGGTTGGTTGGTATTCAATCAGCATATTAAGCTTCAACATAATATCTCGATTGGGTGACATGCGAAGACAGCGAGCATTGCAACAAAAAATACAAACGATGACTCGATCGCGCGCATCCGGGGCGTCTCCGTATTGCTTCTGGTAGTATAGGACATTCAATAGAGCGGCGATCGACTGGCATGGAAAGATTTGTCGGTACCGATAAAAAGTGGTAGGTATCGACTATTGTGTGCAGCAGGGATACGTGTAGCGCTCGAAAGGGTTCATTCGACGTCGGGAGGGATGACATCTTTTTCAGTGGTGAGTCCGTCAAGATGTCCAAAGTGGTTGAAACAGGTGTTCAAGGCTTCTGGACCGTCTCTGAGAGGGCAGAAGATTATGTGAGCACGTCTATATCACGTAGAAGAGCTGTATTTGTTGTGAAAAACGAGGGCGACCAATGGGCTTGAAGCTCCTTTGGCTCAGTTGGTAGAGCGTCAGTCTCATAATCTGAAGGTCGCCAGTTCGATCCTGGCAGGGAGCATCTCTTTGACAATTTCTTCCCTCTCTCTCTATCTCGTATTACATGATCCTACCAGCTCTGACGCTCAAGATAGATGGTTGATAAGAAGGTGCTCTAGCTAGGGTACTCGCCTTAATCATTGTGCGTTCTTGTCGAATGCAGACCCTCTATCTATCTCTCGTCTTCTACCAGACAACAACCGGCCGTTACACCTCTGGTCGTCAAACATACTTTCACAGCGACTGCCGGTTGGTTGGTATTCAATCAGCATATTAAGCTTCAACATAATATCTCGATTGGGTGACATGCGAAGACAGCGAGCATTGCAACAAAAAATACAAACGATGACTCGATCGCGCGCATCCGGGGCGTCTCCGTATTGCTTCTGGTAGTATAGGACATTCAATAGAGCGGCGATCGACTGGCATGGAAAGATTTGTCGGTACCGATAAAAAGTGGTAGGTATCGACTATTGTGTGCAGCAGGGATACGTGTAGCGCTCGAAAGGGTTCATTCGACGTCGGGAGGGATGACATCTTTTTCAGTGGTGAGTCCGTCAAGATGTCCAAAGTGGTTGAAACAGGTGTTCAAGGCTTCTGGACCGTCTCTGAGAGGGCAGAAGATTATGTGAGCACGTCTATATCACGTAGAAGAGCTGTATTTGTTGTGAAAAACGAGGGCGACCAATGGGCTTGAAGCTCCTTTGGCTCAGTTGGTAGAGCGTCAGTCTCATAATCTGAAGGTCGCCAGTTCGATCCTGGCAGGGAGCATCTCTTTGACAATTTCTTCCCTCTCTCTCTCTATCTCGTATTACATGATCCTACCAGCTCTGACGCTCAAGATAGATGGTTGATAAGAAGGTGCTCTAGCTAGGGTACTCGCCTTAATCATTGTGCGTTCTTGTCGAATGCAGACCCTCTATCTATCTCTCGTCTTCTACCAGACAACAACCGGCCGTTACACCTCTGGTCGTCAAACATACTTTCACAGCGACTGCCGGTTGGTTGGTATTCAATCAGCATATTAAGCTTCAACATAATATCTCGATTGGGTGACATGCGAAGACAGCGAGCATTGCAACAAAAAATACAAACGATGACTCGATCGCGCGCATCCGGGGCGTCTCCGTATTGCTTCTGGTAGTATAGGACATTCAATAGAGCGGCGATCGACTGGCATGGAAAGATTTGTCGGTACCGATAAAAAGTGGTAGGTATCGACTATTGTGTGCAGCAGGGATACGTGTAGCGCTCGAAAGGGTTCATTCGACGTCGGGAGGGATGACATCTTTTTCAGTGGTGAGTCCGTCAAGATGTCCAAAGTGGTTGAAACAGGTGTTCAAGGCTTCTGGACCGTCTCTGAGAGGGCAGAAGATTATGTGAGCACGTCTATATCACGTAGAAGAGCTGTATTTGTTGTGAAAAACGAGGGCGACCAATGGGCTTGAAGCTCCTTTGGCTCAGTTGGTAGAGCGTCAGTCTCATAATCTGAAGGTCGCCAGTTCGATCCTGGCAGGGAGCATCTCTTTGACAATTTCTTTCCTCTCTCTCTCTCTCTCTCTCGTATTACATGATCCTACCAGCTCTGACGCTCAAGATAGATGGTTGATAAGAAGGTGCTCTAGCTAGGGTACTCGCCTTAATCATTGTGCGTTCTTGTCGAATGCAGACCCTCTATCTATCTCTCGTCTTCTACCAGACAACAACCGGCCGTTACACCTCTGGTCGTCAAACATACTTTCACAGCGACTGCCGGTTGGTTGGTATTCAATCAGCATATTAAGCTTCAACATAATATCTCGATTGGGTGACATGCGAAGACAGCGAGCATTGCAACAAAAAATACAAACGATGACTCGATCGCGCGCATCCGGGGCGTCTCCGTATTGCTTCTGGTAGTATAGGACATTCAATAGAGCGGCGATCGACTGGCATGGAAAGATTTGTCGGTACCGATAAAAAGTGGTAGGTATCGACTATTGTGTGCAGCAGGGATACGTGTAGCGCTCGAAAGGGTTCATTCGACGTCGGGAGGGATGACATCTTTTTCAGTGGTGAGTCCGTCAAGATGTCCAAAGTGGTTGAAACAGGTGTTCAAGGCTTCTGGACCGTCTCTGAGAGGGCAGAAGATTATGTGAGCACGTCTATATCACGTAGAAGAGCTGTATTTGTTGTGAAAAACGAGGGCGACCAATGGGCTTGAAGCTCCTTTGGCTCAGTTGGTAGAGCGTCAGTCTCATAATCTGAAGGTCGCCAGTTCGAGCCTGGCAGGGAGCACTTCTTTGACAATTTCTTCCTCTCTCTCTCTCTCTCTCGTATTACATGATCCTACCAGCTCTGACGCTCAAGATAGATGGTTGATAAGAAGGTGCTCTAGCTAGGGTACTCGCCTTAATCATTGTGCGTTCTTGTCGAATGCAGACCCTCTATCTATCTCTCGTCTTCTACCAGACAACAACCGGCCGTTACACCTCTGGTCGTCAAACATACTTTCACAGCGACTGCCGGTTGGTTGGTATTCAATCAGCATATTAAGCTTCAACATAATATCTCGATTGGGTGACATGCGAAGACAGCGAGCATTGCAACAAAAATACAAACGATGACTCGATCGCGCGCATCCGGGGCGTCTCCGTATTGCTTCTGGTAGTATAGGACATTCAATAGAGCGGCGATCGACTGGCATGGAAAGATTTGTCGGTACCGATAAAAAGTGGTAGGTATCGACTATTGTGTGCAGCAGGGATACGTGTAGCGCTCGAAAGGGTTCATTCGACGTCGGGAGGGATGACATCTTTTTCAGTGGTGAGTCCGTCAAGATGTCCAAAGTGGTTGAAACAGGTGTTCAAGGCTTCTGGACCGTCTCTGAGAGGGCAGAAGATTATGTGAGCACGTCTATATCACGTAGAAGAGCTGTATTTGTTGTGAAAACGAGGGCGACCAATGGGCTTGAAGCTCCTTTGGCTCAGTTGGTAGAGCGTCAGTCTCATAATCTGAAGGTCGCCTGTCGATCCTGGCAGGGAGCATCTCTTTGACAATTTCTTCCCTCTCTCTCTCTATCTCGTATTACATGATCCTACCAGCTCTGACGCTCAAGATAGATGGTTGATAAGAAGGTGCTCTAGCTAGGGTACTCGCCTTAATCATTGTGCGTTCTTGTCGAATGCAGACCCTCTATCTATCTCTCTCGTCTTCTACCAGACAACAACCGGCCGTTACACCTCTGGTCGTCAAACATACTTTCACAGCGACTGCCGGTTGGTTGGTATTCAATCAGCATATTAAGCTTCAACATAATATCTCGATTGGGTGACATGCGAAGACAGCGAGCATTGCAACAAAAAATACAAACGATGACTCGATCGCGCGCATCCGGGGCGTCTCCGTATTGCTTCTGGTAGTATAGGACATTCAATAGAGCGGCGATCGACTGGCATGGAAAGATTTGTCGGTACCGATAAAAAGTGGTAGGTATCGACTATTGTGTGCAGCAGGGATACGTGTAGCGCTCGAAAGGGTTCATTCGACGTCGGGAGGGATGACATCTTTTTCAGTGGTGAGTCCGTCAAGATGTCCAAAGTGGTTGAAACAGGTGTTCAAGGCTTCTGGACCGTCTCTGAGAGGGCAGAAGATTATGTGAGCACGTCTATATCACGTAGAAGAGCTGTATTTGTTGTGAAAAACGAGGGCGACCAATGGGCTTGAAGCTCCTTTGGCTCAGTTGGTAGAGCGTCAGTCTCATAATCTGAAGGTCGCCTGTCGATCCTGGCAGGGAGCATCTCTTTGACAATTTCTTCCCTCTCTCTCTCTATCTCGTATTACATGATCCTACCAGCTCTGACGCTCAAGATAGATGGTTGATAAGAAGGTGCTCTAGCTAGGGTACTCGCCTTAATCATTGTGCGTTCTTGTCGAATGCAGACCCTCTATCTATCTCTCGTCTTCTACCAGACAACAACCGGCCGTTACACCTCTGGTCGTCAAACATACTTTCACAGCGACTGCCGGTTGGTTGGTATTCAATCAGCATATTAAGCTTCAACATAATATCTCGATTGGGTGACATGCGAAGACAGCGAGCATTGCAACAAAAAATACAAACGATGACTCGATCGCGCGCATCCGGGGCGTCTCCGTATTGCTTCTGGTAGTATAGGACATTCAATAGAGCGGCGATCGACTGGCATGGAAAGATTTGTCGGTACCGATAAAAAGTGGTAGGTATCGACTATTGTGTGCAGCAGGGATACGTGTAGCGCTCGAAAGGGTTCATTCGACGTCGGGAGGGATGACATCTTTTTCAGTGGTGAGTCCGTCAAGATGTCCAAAGTGGTTGAAACAGGTGTTCAAGGCTTCTGGACCGTCTCTGGAGTGGCAGAAGATTATGTGAGCACGTCTATATCACGTAGAAGAGCTGTATTTGTTGTGAAAAACGAGGGCGACCAATGGGCTTGAAGCTCCTTTGGCTCAGTTGGTAGAGCGTCAGTCTCATAATCTGAAGGTTGCCTGTCGATCCTGGCAGGGAGCATCTCTTTGACAATTTCTTCCCTCTCTCTCTCTCTATCTCGTATTACATGATCCTACCAGCTCTGACGCTCAAGATAGATGGTTGATAAGAAGGTGCTCTAGCTAGGGTACTCGCCTTAATCATTGTGCGTTCTTGTCGAATGCAGACCCTCTATCTATCTCTCGTCTTCTACCAGACAACAACCGGCCGTTACACCTCTGGTCGTCAAACATACTTTCACAGCGACTGCCGGTTGGTTGGTATTCAATCAGCATATTAAGCTTCAACATAATATCTCGATTGGGTGACATGCGAAGACAGCGAGCATTGCAACAAAAAATACAAACGATGACTCGATCGCGCGCATCCGGGGCGTCTCCGTATTGCTTCTGGTAGTATAGGACATTCAATAGAGCGGCGATCGACTGGCATGGAAAGATTTGTCGGTACCGATAAAAAGTGGTAGGTATCGACTATTGTGTGCAGCAGGGATACGTGTAGCGCCTCGAAAGGGTTCATTCGACGTCGGGAGGGATGACATCTTTTTCAGTGGTGAGTCCGTCAAGATGTCCAAAGTGGTTGAAACAGGTGTTCAAGGCTTCTGGACCGTCTCTGAGAGGGCAGAAGATTATGTGAGCACGTCTATATCACGTAGAAGAGCTGTATTTGTTGTGAAAAACGAGGGCGACCAATGGGCTTGAAGCTCCTTTGGCTCAGTTGGTAGAGCGTCAGTCTCATAATCTGAAGGTCGCCTGTCGATCCTGGCAGGGAGCATCTCTTTGACAATTTCTTCCCTCTCTCTCTCTATCTCGTATTACATGATCCTACCAGCTCTGACGCTCAAGATAGATGGTTGATAAGAAGGTGCTCTAGCTAGGGTACTCGCCTTAATCATTGTGCGTTCTTGTCGAATGCAGACCCTCTATCTATCTCTCGTCTTCTACCAGACAACAACCGGCCGTTACACCTCTGGTCGTCAAACATACTTTCACAGCGACTGCCGGTTGGTTGGTATTCAATCAGCATATTAAGCTTCAACATAATATCTCGATTGGGTGACATGCGAAGACAGCGAGCATTGCAACAAAAAATACAAACGATGACTCGATCGCGCGCATCCGGGGCGTCTCCGTATTGCTTCTGGTAGTATAGGACATTCAATAGAGCGGCGATCGACTGGCATGGAAAGATTTGTCGGTACCGATAAAAAGTGGTAGGTATCGACTATTGTGTGCAGCAGGGATACGTGTAGCGCTCGAAAGGGTTCATTCGACGTCGGGAGGGATGACATCTTTTTCAGTGGTGAGTCCGTCAAGATGTCCAAAGTGGTTGAAACAGGTGTTCAAGGCTTCTGGACCGTCTCTGAGAGGGCAGAAGATTATGTGAGCACGTCTATATCACGTAGAAGAGCTGTATTTGTTGTGAAAAACGAGGGCGACCAATGGGCTTGAAGCTCCTTTGGCTCAGTTGGTAGAGCGTCAGTCTCATAATCTGAAGGTCGCCAGTTCGATCCTGGCAGGGAGCATCTCTTTGACAATTTCTTCCCTCTCTCTCTCTATCTCGTATTACATGATCCTACCAGCTCTGACGCTCAAGATAGATGGTTGATAAGAAGGTGCTCTAGCTAGGGTACTCGCCTTAATCATTGTGCGTTCTTGTCGAATGCAGACCCTCTATCTATCTCTCGTCTTCTACCAGACAACAACCGGCCGTTACACCTCTGGTCGTCAAACATACTTTCACAGCGACTGCCGGTTGGTTGGTATTCAATCAGCATATTAAGCTTCAACATAATATCTCGATTGGGTGACATGCGAAGACAGCGAGCATTGCAACAAAAAATACAAACGATGACTCGATCGCGCGCATCCGGGGCGTCTCCGTATTGCTTCTGGTAGTATAGGACATTCAATAGAGCGGCGATCGACTGGCATGGAAAGATTTGTCGGTACCGATAAAAAGTGGTAGGTATCGACTATTGTGTGCAGCAGGGATACGTGTAGCGCTCGAAAGGGTTCATTCGACGTCGGGAGGGATGACATCTTTTTCAGTGGTGAGTCCGTCAAGATGTCCAAAGTGGTTGAAACAGGTGTTCAAGGCTTCTGGACCGTCTCTGAG